TAAAATGGTTTGTAGCTGTAGGTCATTTTTTGTTGTATTGTGGTCGGTAAAGAATGCATATAATATTTCTGCTTTTCTGCATTTGAAGACATAACCAAATTTCATAAAAGCACATACATATGTTCATATTTCCATTTTTCCCTTGATAATTAATTAATTTATTTTTAGTTTTCAACATTCACTTCCATAATTTTCTTTTCTTTTTGGTGAGGCAATTGAGGTTAAGTGACTTGCCCAGGGTCACACACCTAGTAAGTGTCAGAGGCTAGATCTGAACTCAAGTTCTCCTGCCTGACAGAAGGCTGGAACTCTATCCACTGCACCACCTAGCAAGGTGTACCACCTCCCATAAGATTTTGAGTTTAAAATTTTCTCCCCCTCCCACTCCCTTCCCCCCCCCACCAAGATGGCATGCAACCTGATATAGGATCTACTTATACATTCATATTAAGCATATTTTCCCATTAGTCATGATATATAGAACAATTAGAATTAATGGGAGGAACCACAAGAATGAAACAATAAAACAAAACAAGAAAGGAAAAGGAGAATAAGTAGTATGCTTCCATCTGCCTTCAGACTCCATAGTTCTTTCTCTGGATGTGGACAGCAATTTCCATCTTGAGTCTTTTGGAGTTGTCTTAGATTCTTGCATTGCTGAGAAGAGCCAAGTCTATCAAAGTCAGTCATCAAAAAATGTGGCTGTTACTGTGTACAATGTTCTCCTGGTTCTGCTCATTTCACTCTGCATCAATTCATCCTATATCTGTTTAATAACCACCAGAGATACTTCAAATGGAGTTTCTCTAAAATTCTATTCAGATCCTTAACTTCTTATTTTTGGTTAGATTTGCCTAGGGCTGACAGTGATAAATTTGGGCACCCCACTATTATCATTCTACAGCCTTCTTTTAATTGATTCTTTAAGTATTTAGAAGCTATGCCATTAGGTGTTTATGTGTTACATACCAAAATCAATTCATTGTCTATAACAAGGATTGGTGGGGGCAGCTAGGTGGCACAGTGGATAGAGCAATGGCCCTGGAGTCAGTAGGACCTGAGTTCAAATCCTGCCTCAGAAACATAACACTCACTAACTGTGCGACCCTAGGCAAGTCACTTAACCTCAACTGCCTCACCACCAAAAAAAAAAAAAAAAAGTATAACAAGGATTGGAAAACTACAGCCTGAAGGCCAAATTCAGCTCACCATCTGTTTTTGTACAATGGGCTAAGAACAGTGTTTACATTTTAAAATAGTTTCATCACATTTTAAAACATAAACATCATTATTAGCTCACGAGCTGTGTACAAAAAGGGGAAGTGGGCCAGATTTGGCCTGCAGGCCACAGTTTGTCTGCACTTGGTCTATGTTATCTTTCAGCAAAATGTGGTTTCTCACTTTATCTCTTTCAATTACATCCATTTTTAGCCTATTACTTTGTCTGAAATAATATTTGCTACCCTTACTTTTTTGTTCAGCTAAGGCACAATGCACTTTACTCCATCCCTTTATTGAAATTGTGTATCTGCTTCAAATGTGTTTCTTATTAATAATATATTGCTGGAGTTTGCTTCATAAAACATCCTAGTAACCTCTTCAATTTTATGAGTTCATCCCATTTACATTTGTAGTTAATAATTTCCTTCCATCCTATTGTCTTATGCTTTGTCTTCTCTATACTCCTCACTCCCTGTTTATTTCAAGTTGTTGCCTCTTCTGGTTTTTTTGTTGTTTCTTTTTTGTTTGTTTGTTTTTTGTCTTTTGACTTTCTCTTTGTTATCCTTTCTCCAAGTTTAGGATTTGTTCTTCTTATGACTAATCCCTCCCTGAATCTACGCTTTTCTCTCTTCTTGTTCTTATATGGATCCGTGTTGAGTCAAATGTCTCCCTACACTATGGTATACTACATTTTGTCTGTTATGCTTCTTGTGACATTTCAATGAACATGAAATTCAATTGATACCCACTCCCCCTTTTTCCTTCTGATTTTTTCTATCCTTCCATTCTTTTCATGTTTGTATATAGTTTTACTTGTGCAAACACAATTATGTGTGGTAATAAGTCCCTCCATCCTTCTACCAATTTTCCTGAATGTTACCTTTTTTTCCCCCCAACAGCATTTGCAAAATCCAACAAAACTATAGGTCTTCTGTCCAGCTGACTACCTCTATGACCCCTTTTGACATTAGGACTCAAAAAAAGTCCCTTTTAATACCTCCTCCTCTACTAGAATGTTTATAGCTCATCTTTACACAGTCTGTTCTAGTTGTTCACTTGTATTTGCCTTTTTACTTTTCTGCAATCCTATATCTATATTTCAAAATTCCTTCATGCTTTTTTATTTTTCCATGAAGAATACTTGCAAATTATCTCTTATTGGTCAACTTTTTTCCTTCTGGACTATACTCAAATTTTGCCAGGGGATTCTTGGTTGTATACTTTTATCTTTTGTCTTTAGGAAATATCTCTTTCCATGTTATCCACTCCTTTATAGTGATAGTTATTAAATCATGTGTGATCCTGGTAGTGTTTCCTCAATATTTGAATTTTTCTGGCTAATTATAGTATTATCTATTTATTTATTTTGGTCTGGAATCTCTAGATTTTGTCAATAACATTTCTGGGAGTTCTCACTTTGAGGCTTCCTCCACAAGATGATCGATGGATTCTATTTTCACACTGCCCTCTGCTGCACTATGTCTGGGCAATTTTCTTTAATGATTTCTTGAAATTTGACATCCAAGTTCTTTTATTTTGGTCACAGATTTCACATGATCCTATGATTCTTAAGTTATCTCTCTTTGATCTGTTTTCCAGTTGTTTTTGGTATTAGACAGCTTACATTTTCTATTTTTCCTCATTTTTAAATTTTTAAAGAATTCTCATTGTTTCCTGGAGTCATTAATTTCTATTTGGTCCATTCTGATTTTTAGGGAGTTCATAGAGAAAAAGAAAAGTTTTGTGCCTCTTCTGTTAAGCTGTTGATTCTTTTTTCAATTTTTTCCTCCATTGCCCTCATTTATTTTACAACATAAACTCTTGCAACTCTTGCATCATTTCTTTGAAGAATTCTAATTGTTCTTGTGGGCAAGCTGTTTTTTTTTTTTTTTTCCCTTGGAGGTTTTGATTGCAGGTGTTTTTTTTTTAATCGTTCTCTTCTGGGTTTGTGTCCTGGTCATCCCTGGTATTGTAACAGTGCATTTGGTCTTTTGTTTCAAATGCAGAAGTTCTGTTCTAATTTGAAGATCAAATTAAGGCCATTTCCTTCGCCCCAGTGTTCTTTCTTTAGGCTAGTCTTTTCTTTCCTTTGGGTTAGGGTTTTGACCGGAAACTTTTCCTTGATCCTGGATACCAAAATTCTCTCCCGTGATGGCCTTAGTGGAAACCTTTTCCTTCAGATGAGGCAAGAGATGGAGAGGCCTTTTCTTTAATCCTCAGTTAAATTGAGGGTTGAAATTCTTTGGTGGAATCGACCCAATTGAGGCTTTTTCCTGAGGGAGTTGTATTTATTTCACTATCACACTAAGGCCTGCCTTCCTGCTCCCCATCTCCCAACTACAACTACCTTTTTTCCCTCTAAAAGCAATGGGAAGCCTGCATGAAGGCTTTTTTTTTCTTTACAACACTGCCTTGCCACTTCCTCTCACCCCCATCAAGGTGTTTTGGGTTTTTTGGTGGTTATATTTTTTTAACCTTAGCACTTTGTTGTTTCACATTAGTCTCTCAGGATTTCTAAATAACTAGTTATTTACTTTGCCACAAGCCTTTCACTTTTATCGCACAGGGAACACAGATCATATTTACTACTTGTCTATAGAGTGAGGTATTTGGTAATCGGGTTTTTTAGTGGTGATACAGAGCTAAACTCTACTGTTTCCTTCTACTCTACACCTTGATTTGCCATTGGTTTTGCCAGTGTTCTTTCCATATGCCACTTGAAAAGTGCTTGGGTGAGGTAGGGTAACAAAAGAGAAACCCCAGCATGCTTGATGACCACATTTCTAGGAGAATCAATGGGAGGATTATAAGGAAGAGTTCTTTGACACGTTTTTGCTTGGGAGTTTTTCAACTTTTATCATTAGTTTTAAGACTCGAAGTTTCCGAATTTTGTCAAACCAGCAGGACAGGAGTCAGTCCGCAATTTTACTTAATAAGGTATTGGTTATGAAGTTTGAGAAGCTGTACACAAAGCCAACACAGAGTAGACAGAAAAAAGAACTCTGTACTCTGCTTCAAAGCAGGGAGCTTTTGGTACCTGTTCCTTCTTTCGGCCCTTGATTATCTAATATGAAAATCAAAGACTCCACATCCTATAAAAACCAACTTAGGAGCTGAGCTGTACTTTTAATTTCGTCTTCTCATCTATTCTTAATCTTTTAGTGCATTTTGTTATTGTTGTTCAGTTGTGTCTGACTCTTTGTGACCCCATTTGGGGTTTTCTTGGCAAAGATAACGGTTTGTCATTTCCTTTTCCACCTCATTGTACAGATGAGGAACCAAAGCAAACAGGATTAAGTGACTTGCCCAAGGTCACATAGCTTGTAAGTGTCTGAGACCAGATTTGAAGTCAGGAAAATGAGTTTTCCTTACTTCCAGTCTGGCATTCTACCCACTGTGCCAGCTAGCTGCCCACATCAACTTTAAAAGGCATCAATATTAATCTTTGTCTTACTTATCAGGGAACACATGACTATTTCATTTTGTCTTGGTATTTCTACAGTCTAAAACACTCCAAGGCATATAGCAGGTGCTTACTAAGAAAGTTTGATGGACTCTATAAATCTGTAAGCATGCATCAGATTTAAATGATCAGTACACTAGCAATTACTCTAAAAAGTCAGTAACAGAGACTGAAATTACTTCTATGAAAGGAATACTAAAAGAGGGATACGCAAAAATACGACAATTCAAGATAAATATGGCAGTCTGTAATAATACAAACTAGCTCCCTTCTTTATTTAGTAACCTAGCATAGGATTACCTGAAATCTATGACCAAAAAAGAAAAACTGTATATCAGATTTCAAAAAATCATTAAAGAAAATAGCCCAGACACATTAGAACAAGATGGCAACGTGAAAATAGAAAGAATCCACCTGTCACTCCAGGAGTGTTGAAGGAATTAAGTTCTAAATGGGTTGGCATTCATAATTTATTAAATACCACTTGAAGCTCAGACTATATGGAAAATTCCCTATCTGATGTACCATAATATTACAATAACACCAACAACCACATAATGAACAAAACAGAACACCCTATTTTCATTTGTGGCAAAGCTTATTTATTAGGCTTGGGGGCAACTGGAATAGGGAAAGTGAATAGGGAGAATAGGCAGTGATACTATTCTAAAATAAAATTATTTGACTTTAATTTTAGTTTGTTGGGAGAAAGCTATACAAAATATGCTTTTGAGTAAAACACTGCTACTGACCGACTTTATTAGATTCTGGATTAATGTCCCATACTGGAACTTCCTAAATAACAACTATTTGAAAACATCTGAAATAAGAAACTGCAGAATACAGTTAAAGTAACTATAAACCATAAATTCATAAGATGCAGGATCTGTGCTTACAGGTTTTAATACATCATGGTTAATGATTCACTAGAAGCCGTTTCCCAACATTCAAAGAAATGTTTTCATATAGTTCTTTTGGCTGATGTTGGAAAGCTTTACCCCAATTCAACTAATAAGTAACATTTTTTAATATAAAAAAACATAAAAAAATTTAAAAAATGGATATAAACAAGATTATTTTGAAATTAATATGCTGTCAAAAATAAATCCTTTAAAGAATTAAAGCACATTTGTAACTTTTTACTCAAGAAACTAGTTAAATTACTTTTTAAACCAGCAATAAAAATGTTGGAAAAATGTAGAATGTCCTTAGAAAGTTTGTAAACCATTTCCTCCATCTCTTCATTGCCCCTACATTAACAAAAAAAAAAAAAAAAAAAGCTAGGGAAGGCAATAAAGAGAAATACGGTTCCCTTCTTTAAAAATTATTACCCAAATAATTGCTCTCATTGTTATCATAGCACTATTACAAAGACAATTACAATTTTCAATTTAGGAGGAAATCATCAATCTTTAATCTAGTATGATTAAAGAAAATTGATTCTTCTTCCTAAACAAGAATAAAACCAATTTATTTTCCCTTAAGCCATAGTAATTTAAAATGGAATAATTATTTCCTGTTCTATTTTCCATACTTCAGTTAATAATTATGCTTTTATAATTAAATAATCCTCATAAGATTACCATTATGATAAATTTTTTAAAAAGCCCTAAACTAGCTGAATGTTTAATTTCTTTCCACGTGTCTTGGACATTAACAAAAGCACAATTTGTCCATTTATTTAATGTGTTCTTGAAATTTATCAACAATGGCTATATTATATAAAAATCATTAAACTTACGTACTCAATTAAATCCCATGGCTTAATTCCCTTTTTCATAATAGTTGTGTGTGCAAACTTAGGAAAAAGATTTGTATTATTTTGTCCACTACTGAGAGATATAATTTTTTTCTCCTAAATATCAATTTATTTCTTAGAGTGAAATAGAGCTGCTGTGACAGAATCTTTAAAGACAGTGTTTTTCCTTTTAAAATACTACACCCACAGCAAAGTACTATTATATAAGTACACTTGGAATCATAGAAGTTGAGCTAAAGGGTACAAAGAACTATAGCTGGATTGGCAATTGATGACTTCCTTAGTCTTCATATAGAAGCCTTCAGTTATTAAATTGAAGTTTCTGGCAGGAGATAACATTCCAAAAAACAAACTTGAAAATCACTAATAGCTAAGGCATAGTCTTCCTGTGGTAGCTAGACTTCAGATTTAGTCTTTTTTTTTTCTTCAATTACATGTAGTTTCTGACATGCACTGCAAAAACTTTCAAGTATATTTTCCTTTTTAAACTGGCCAAACAAGAGCTCAACCAAAAAAAAAATCTCATTATGTAGCAAAGTTTAAAATCGACCTTTCACATTATCTATTTAAAATAATTAATCTAGGACCAAAATTAAAATAAAGCTTGTTATTTAAAATTTTTTTTTGATAAAATTGATCTACAATGGTTGAGGCACCAAGTGGTCAAGTAATATTGAAAGACTCATATCCTTTACGACATCAAGCCTGGATGAGAATCCTGGGAACATTCCTCTCCTTCCCAGATTTCTGGACCAAACCCTTGGCTCTAAAATGTAATTTAATAATACAAATTATAGGATTATTATAACTTAATAATAAAGCTATTTCAAGGTATAAGGATTTAGGATAGCTACGTGCTTCATAAATTTCAGACAGGCTGCAATCTATGAAAGTGGAAGGAGTTTCCTCACTGAAAAAAATCACAGATACTTGACATAATGTTTAAAACAGGATTTTTAAAAAATTCTGTAAGGTGCAGAAACAAACAAAAATTGGGGCTTCACCCTTTTTAAGCTGACAGAACATATCACATTCAAATTATATTCCAGTAAAAGAGTTACTCTAATTCCCTTGAAGATTTTCATCACATAAAACCTTTGGCTGCTAGACAATGATCCATTTAAAATAATTTAATTGAAGATTCTTAAAATTCCTTCATTTTCATCTATTTGAGGCACCACTAACCTTTCTTGGCTTAGAAGGAAGATTATCTTATTCCTCCTGGCCTTGCTTCATTTCAACTCTATAATGAAAACATATATCACAATGATTCAAATAAAAAAATGAGCTCAGAGGAACTGATTATTTCTACTTGCTCAACCTCAAAACTTTACTTGAGTTTCTTTGTCCCCGCCTTCTTCTCCATGCAACCAAAGTGACAAAATTTCATTAAGTTGTATAGAAAGTGCAAAGAAATGAATGAATGACTTGACTTCCACTTACAAGACAAACATTAAAGTGCTAAGATGATCTAATATACTTGTAACTAAAACTTGGGACTTACTGTATACTTAAAAAGCATCTTTTCAACAAGTCAAGAGATTAACTTTTAAAATACTGTTATTTAACACCAGCAGGTCATTGTAGGTTTTGGTTCAGGCTTCAAAACAATTCCATCATCAGCTGGTTGACTAAGCATTAGAGGTTTGTGGCTTTTGAGCTTATGAGCTAAGGTCATGAATATAGCTTCCACATGGTCATTATCATTGGGATTTTTAGCAGAGGTTTCAAACAGTGGCATAGAGTGTGTGTCAGCAAATTTTTGGGCCAAATCTGTAGGAACTTGAATGGCACTTCTCAAGTCACATTTATTTCCAACCAGAATCCTTGGTATATCACTAGCAAGCAAATGTTGTTTGCATTCTTCTATCCATGACGGCAGGCTGCGAAAACTGGCCATGTTGGTCATATCATACACAAAGACAACAGCATGTACATTCCTATAGTAGTGCTGTACCATGCTTTTTCTGAACCGTTCTTGCCCTGCTGTGTCCCATAATTGTATCTGAAAATAAAAAGAGGAAAAAAAATTACAATAGAATAATCCCAATTTAAAATACTTAGGAATCCTATTGTTCTATCAACAAAACAAACAAATAAACCCTTGAAATTATATGGTGCTTTATATTTTTTCAAAGTATTTCATACCTATTTCTTCAATATTTCAAGTAACCATGACATCACTGGTATGGGTAATACAGATCCAAAATCCTAGCAGTCTTCTTAGTAGGTGGTATTTAAGAGTTAGTATGACCCCTCAAAAATTTACCCTTTGGGGTCCAACTTTCATGATTACTATCATTTAATAACTTCTTATTAGAAAGCTCAGGCACAGTTTGATTCTAATAACAATATAATTGAATAGCAGTTCTGAGGATAAGTTCAATTATTTGTGATTGTCCACAAGTACAAGGTGAGAAAGATATGGACAGAAGATATGAAAAGCCACCTAGGAATGGAGGTTGATTTTAAGCTTAACTAGTCAATAGTGAGCTTTAAAAAAAAAACAACCCAGCAACAACAACAATCTAATGCAAGCTAGGTAGAGCTACGTTAAGAGCAACTGAATGTCTAGTATAAAGGAGAGTGTGATTATCTTCCCAATTACGCTATCCTAGTCAGACCACATCTGAAGTATTGTGTTCAGGTATACTGGCCACATTTTAAGAGGAATACTGACAAAATAATGTCCACAGAATGGTTATTTAGATAACGAGGGGACTTTCAATTATGTCAAAAAACAAACTGGGGATGTTTAGTTTGAAGAAGCCAAGACTTAAGAGAGCATACGACATGCTTACTTCAGATATCTGAAGCATTGTTAATCTGTGGTTTTCTAATAAATCAATATGTGCTCTATAGGGATTTGTTCCTACTTGAGTTTGATATCACTGCTCCATACCATACTCTCCCAAGCTCTCCAATGCTGGGGGGAATAAAACATTTACACAAGTATAATATGAGCACAATAAAAGACAGGAGGCAAGGGAGAGAATTAAGTATTCTGAGAAAATTTGAAGGAAAGGTCAAAACTGTGAGGAAGACTTTCTAGAGGACATAGACATCTAACCACTTGGAGGAGAGCTACACAGAAGAAGGTTTAAGCTGTTTCCATGTGGTCCCAAAGGGAAGAACCAGCAACTATTGCAGTAGGTGTATTATGTAAATGGCAAAGAGGAAAATTAGATGATATATTATCTTCCATTCATATATCAAAAGCAGACAAGATATCTTGAAAGATGTAACAGCTATAACTCTGATGATCCCCTAATAAATAATATCAAGCAAGGCATGAAACAGGGAGATATACAGTCAAAAGTGTTCACCTGTCATGAAGAAGGATCCAACAGAGAACCAAGTCAAAGAGAAAATCCATACATAAAATTCACTAGATGGCTCCTATTGTCAGATAAAATTGTGCTGACTACACAGAGTTCCTGAACACTGCAGAACTTCCTAAATAAGATTCAGTCTTGTTAAGGAGGTTGGTCTAATTTTTCACACAGGGAAAAAACAAGCAGATGAAGAATGAATGTTGTACAGAATCCAACACACAACTGGATAGGCAAACTATAGAGCAAGTTATAGAACTCATCCATCTGTACAAATATCTGGGTCAGACACTGTAAATGTATAATAATCTGGGTTCAGAATTGAATAGGAGGAAGAGAAGCCTTGATTTCCTTTGGGAAACTACAGAATTCATTAAATGATCTCAAGCTTTTTCCTAAAATAAAGGCTCATCTTTTAAGGACTAATAATGTTCTTCCAGTAATGTGTTATACGAACAGGCAGCTAGGTGGCACTGTGGATAGAGCGCTGGGCCTGGAGTCAGCAACACCTGAGTTCAAATCCAGCCTCAGATACTTACTAACTGTATGACCCTGGACATATCACTTAACCCTGTTGGCCTCAGTTTCCTCATCTGTAAAATGATCTGGAGAAGGAAATGGTAAACCACTCCAGTATCCCTGCCAAGAAGACTTCAAACGGGATCACAAAGAGTCGGACATGACTGAAACAACTAAACAATGTCATATCGCAAGTACAGAATATCACAGAATACAACAGTCATTGAAAACTCAAGTTGAAGATCCACCAAAGCACAACAGAAAGGTAAGTGGGTGCTAGTAGGCTGCAACACAATAAGAATGAAATATTACGTAGAAGTAATGTGAACAGACCTACTACTACGCGGCAGTAGTAGTAGCGAATATTATGCAGTAGTAAATGTTATGAGAGAAAAAGCCAACAACAACGGACAATCTGGGATGCTCTACTGATGTCCTTGTAATAACAGAAGAATTTAAGGAAGGCTCTTGAATATCTGCTGGGTGTCTATGGTAAATTTCTGGGACAAAATGCACAAAATAGGTTAAAATCTATACCAATGGAGGTAAAACCTACATCAGTGAGATCACAGATCCACAGGAATGTTGCAAGAAAAATATGACTCATTACCCGGCCATGGAAGAGTTCAAAAAAGATTTTGAGAAGTAGAGGAAAAACTGGGAAGAGAAATGAGAGTGATGCAAGAAAATCATGAAAAACATGTCAACAGCTTGCTAAAGGAGACCCAAAGAAAAATACTGAAGAAAATAACACCTTAATAAATAGACTCGGGGCAGCTAGGTGGCGCGGTGGATAGAGCACCAGCCCTGAAGTCAGGAGGACCTGAGTTCAAATCCGGCCTCAGACCAAACACTTGACACTTAACTAGCTGTGTGACCCTGGGCAAGTCACTTATCCCCAATTGCCTAAAAATAAAAAAAATAAAAAAATAAAAAACAGACTGACCCAAGTGGGTCAGTCCCCTCCCAAGAGGGAGGGGAAAAAATTATATGTATGTATAGATAGACAGATAGAGGGCACAGGGTGAGTTTGAAGACGAAGGGGTGATATCTGGAAAATAAAATTAAGGGGTGAGAGAGGATTATACTGGCAGAAGAAGAAAGGGAGAGGTAGAATGGGGTAAATTATCTCACATGAAATAGACAAGAAAAGGCTTTTACAGTGGAGGGGAAATGGGGGAAGGTGAGAGGGAATGAGTGAATCTTATTTTCATAGGATTTGGCTTAAGGAGGGAATAACATACCCAATGGGGTATGGAAATCTATCTTACCCTACAGGAAAATAAGGGGGGAAGGGGACAAGAGAGCAGGATGTTGATAGAGGGGAGGGCAGACTGAGTGATGGGATAATCAAAAGCAAACACTTCTGAGTAGGGACAGGGTCAAAAGAGAGAATAGAATAAATGGGGGGGTAGGATAGGATGAAGGAAAATACAGTTATTTTTTTATAACATGACTACTATGGAAGTGTTTTGCATGACTACACATCCATAACCTGTATCGAGATGCCTGCCTTTTCAATGAGGGTGGGTGGGGAGGGAGGAAGGGAGAAAACTTGGAACCCAAAGTTTTAAAAACACATGTTAAAAATAAAAAAAATAAATTAAAAAAAGCAAAAAAAAAATGACAAAAGAGGTCCAAAAACCCAATAAGTAGAAGAATGTCTTAAAAAGCAGAATTGGTCAAATGGAAAAGGAAGTCCAAAAGCTCACTGAAGAAAATACTTCCTTAAAAATTAGAATGAAGCAAATGAAAGCAAGTGATTATGAGAAATCAAGACATCATAAAAAAAAACAAAAGAATGAAAAAATAAAAGACAATGTGAAATATCTCACTGGAAAGACAACTGATCTGGAAAACAGATCCAGGAGAGATAATTTAAAAATTATTGGACTACCTGAAAGCCATGATCAAAAAAAAAAGAGCCTAGATATCACCTTTCAAGAAATTATTAAGGAAAACTGCCCTGATATTCTAGAACCAGAGGCCAAAATAGAAATTGAAAGAATCCACAGATCACCTCCTGAAAGAGATCCCCAAAGGAGAACTCCTAGGAATATTATAGCCAAATTCCACAGTTCCCAGGTCAAGGAGAAAATATTGCAAGCAGCCAGAAAGAAACAATTCATGTATTGTGGAAACACAATCAGGATAACACAAGATTTAGCAGCTTCTACATTAAGAGGGCTTGGAATATGATATTCCAGAGGGCAAAGGAGATAGGATTACAGCCAAGAATCACCTACCCAGTAAAACTGAGTATAATCTTCCAGGGGAAAAAATGGACATTCAGTAAAATAGAGGACTTTGAAGCATTCTTGATGAAAAGACCAGAGCTGAATAGAAAATCTGCCTTTGAAATACAAGACTCAAGAGAAGCATGAAAAGGTAAATAGGGAAGCAAAAAATCTTAAGGGACATATTAAAGTTGAACTGTTTACATTCCTACATGGAAAGATGATATTTGTAACTCACAAGACCTTTGGTCAGTATTAGGGGTAGTGGGAGGGAAAAAAAAATTACAGATAGATAGATAGATAGATAGAGGGCACAGGGTGAGTTGAAGATGAAGGGGTGATATCTAAAAAATAAAATTAAGGGATGAGAGAGGATTATGCTGGGAGAAGGAGAAAGGGAGAGGTAGAATGGGGTAAATTATCTCACATAAAACAGACAAGAAAAGGCTTTTATAGTGGAGGGGAAGTGAGGGAAGGTGAGAGGTAATGAGTGAATCCTATTCTCATTGGATTTGGCTTAAGGAGGGAATAACATACACACTCAAATTGATATGGAAAGCTATCTTACTGTACAGGAAAATAGGGGGAAGGGGATAAGAGAGTAGGGGAATGATAGGAGGGAGGGTAGATTGGGGGAGGGGATAATCAGAAGCAAACACTTCTGAGGGGGGACAGGGTCAAAAGAGAATAGAATCGGTGGGGGGGGCGGCATAGGATAAAGGGAAATATAGTTAGTTTTTCACAACATAACTACTATGGAAGTGTTTTGCATGACTACATATGCATAACCTGTATCAAGTTGCTTGCCTTCTCAATGAGGGTGGGTGGGGAGGGAAGAAGGGAGAAAATTTGGAACCCAAAGTTTTAAAAACAAATGTTAAAAATTGTTTTCACATGCAACTGAGAAATAAGACATA